GCGACGACGATGAGGCCGGACATTGCATTCGCCTGCAGCAAGCTGGGGAGCGGCCTCACGGTGAGGAGCGACCAGCATTGGCGCGAGGTCGACCGCTGCCTCGCCTACCTCGCCGACACCCGCGACACCGCCCTAGAGTTCGGCGGTGGACCAGAATCGTTGGAGCTGATCGGCTACGTCGATGCCGACGACGCGGGCGACAAGCAGAACCGGACGAGCACGGGAGGCTATGTTTTCGTCTACGGAGGGGCCGCTGTCTCCTGGTCAAGCTCGCGCATCAAGTGCGCGACATTGTCATCGACCGAATCGGAGTACGTGGCGGTCACGGATGCCGGCAAGGAGGGGCGTCGACTTCGCTTCCTCCTTGCGGAATTCAAGCTACTCGACGCTGGAAAGCCGACCATCCTCCGCGTCGACAACAAGTCGGCAATCACGGTCGCTGAGGGCTTGGGGCTGACGGGCAACCTCAAGCACATGGAGCGACGCTACGCCTGGCTGCAGCACATGGTGAGGCGCGGGAAATTCGTGGTGAAGTACATCCCGACCACCGAGCAGCCGTCGGACTTCCTGACGAAGGCGCTGCATTTTCCGGCTTTCAACCGGTGCTCGGTCGCCATCGGCCAAGTTCGTCTGGCCGACGTCGGCGACGGCGACGACGAGGTGCAGCAGTAGGTGCCGTGCCCTTCTGCACGGCTGGTGCGGTGACAACATGCTGTGTGTGGGGTGCACGCCGAGGACGAGTTTTCTCCGTGGAGTACTGCCGTGTGGGCTGGAGGCCCAAGCGTGAGCGCGGCAGAGGAGTGTTAACAGGAATGGAGTGTTGGCCCCGCCCTCGCTTGGGCAATGCCGACGACTTGGTCGGATGTACGGGAGTAGCAGCCGACCGTTCACAGTGGGAGAGCTGCTCGACAGGCTTCGTCGAGCTGCAGGGGACCGCTGTGGTGTTGCTGTCGACCAGGGAGCTCGACAGCTGCAACTGACTGGTCTGGGCGACGGGTGGGACGTCGACCAGGACCTACAGCTCGACCAGGAGGTGTCCGGAGCATCCCATAGACCTGCCGTTCGACCGGGAGGTGTTCGGAGCATCCCGTCGACCTGCAGTTCGACCGGGATTTCGACGGAGCAATCCGTCGACCTGACAAGTGAGCAGCGGTCGACGAGGGGAGCTCGGCGACAACTGCTGATGGTTCTGGTCGACGGAAAGGGTCCGTCGACCAGGGGGTAGCTCGACAGGAGTTGTGGTCGACCAGATGCACTTGGTGGTCGACCAGAGGGACCTGATGGTCGACCAGAAGCAGTGGTGGTCGACCGGAAGCACCTGGGGGTCGACCGGGTCGACCGGGTAACCTGCTCGACGAGTTCTGCGGAGGCACGCGAACGTCGTCGAGGTCGCGATGGCACAGGCGACTTCGGAATGGTATCCCGAAGTCGATGTGGCTCGTCAGGCGCAGACAACAGCCGACGGATGCCCAACGAGGCAAGTCGGGCCAATCGTCTGCGCGCACCTGCGGGCGTGCGCACTGCTGTGTTCTACGGGGCAACGCTGGACAGCCGCTCTGCTGCAGCGTTGGCACGACCGTCGACCTGCTCTGTTGGCAGGTCGCCCTTCTGCAGTGCTGGTGCGGCTCCTCTACGCAACGTTGGCAGGCGGTCGACTGAGCTGTGCTGGCGGTCGACCAGACTAGCTGCAGGGTTGCTAGGTGCCTGATGTAGTCATTATTGCTTGTCATTTCGACTTTGCATAGTGGAAACTCTTGCCGATTTCTCCCGTGAATGTGCAAGCACTAAGGAACTAAGCAAAGCTACGATCACTCCTAGTAGTTCGTGCCAACCCCCGTAGTCTAGCTCACTACCGTTGTAGAGTGACTCTCCGCAGTGACGGCATCAAAGTACTCCTTCGTTGTCCTTTTCTGGCCAAACTGAACGTGCTTGGTAGGAGGGACGAAGCTACTAAGGGCGAGACATGCAGGTGCGTCTTGCCACACCCAGATCACATCCTTGTCCTAGAACGTGGCGTAATTCTGCTTATTTGCGTTCGTGGCGGCATCAGTGAGAAGAGGGCGGGGGGGGGGGGGGGGGGGGGGGGGGGAGGACAGCTCATTGGAGATATGGGCGTAGAGGTACACGCCATCTTGGCTCTGGCTCTGCAAGTAAATCTCAACGTCGCTCAGCTGCTCGTCAAAACCTAGCGCCCAGACCTCTACATTAAAGTGCAGCACGAACAGGGGAGGCAGAGAGGAAGTAGTAGGAAGCAGTGGCACTGTTTCAGGCGAGCGTGCGGCATGGATGACAGCTTAGGTGGATCGGTCAGTACGGGCAGCTCAGGTAATACGGGCAGCACGGGTAGTACGGATAGCTCGGGCGGTATGGGCAACTCAAGCACTGCGGCCAGCTCGTGTTGACGGAAATGGCCCCGATCTCGCTTGGGCAAAGCCAACTTTGCTATCGGATGCGCGGGAGGTGCAGCCGATTGCCCGCAGAAGTCGATGTTGACCGCGCGCAGAAGACCACGTCGTTTGCCAGTAGGAATCGACGCCGACTATCCGCAGAGCTCGACGTCGACTTAGGCAAGCAGGTCGACGAATGGTGCAACCTATGGTTTGCACTCAGCTTGTTGTCCGTGTGCGTGTATGCATGTGTGCATGGAGTGGTATGAGGGCATGAGATAATATAGCGAATTTCATGCTTATAATAGTGTGTGAATGTTGAGTCATGATGTCGAATATGAGTGTGTTGAGCCAATAGCGAATCATTTCTAGTCGCGTGCCTACGTCATTGTTTGTGTGTCTTGCGCAGTTTCTATTTTGTCGTTTGTGTGTGTCGCTCGGTTTCTATTTTGTCGTGCGTGGAATGTTTGGCGTGTCGCAGGTGGCAGCAGACCCATCAAGAACTCAAGGATGAGTTTATGATGAAGAATCGGAGCCTTGGTTTCAAGACTCAAGTGATCGCGAAGCTCGCGAAAAAAGGTTACACCTCAAGATATTGAGAATATTTACATTACTTTGTGTAGTGTAACATTTCACTTGGTGTAGGCCCTTGCGAAGGGTAGTTACGAGACCCTTCGTGGTTGGAGCGTGGCACTGTTCCACATCACTGTACCTTGGCTCTTGGGGTTTGTAGAAGCTGGGAGTCTTTCCCAACTCGTAATCCTTCCTAATTTGTGTCCTAAGACTATAGTGGCTGCCATAGTGCCGTTCGTTTAAACCGACGTTGTGTCGTCAATACTTGGTGAAATCGTGCGATCTAAAATGCCTATTGTAGGTGACGTTAAGACGCTCCATATCCCTGTTGGATCAGGTCATTTGAAGCTGTGTCCAGAATGCTATGAACGTTTAAATCCGCTGTGCAGAAATACGACTGTGCACTCTATCTTCCGTTTTAGGCACATTTGAGCTTGTTGTGACTATAACACGATGTGCCTAGTCAACGAGGTTTGTGGAGGTGATGGTCGAGCAGACCTTGCACGACGCGATGCGGTCGACATTGCCGCAGAGAATGCTGGTCGACGAGCCCTCAGAGAAATACTGGTCGACGAGGCCCATAGAGGAGCGTATGTCATCGGGCTTTGCTCGACGAAGTTGTCTTGGCGAACTATGTTCGACGGAGCATCATCGAGCTAGTCCTCGCAAGTCGCTCGACTATAAAATCGGACGCGTCGATGGATGTCGCCCAGGAGGTTTTCACAAATTCGACCTGTGGAACGGCTTCACGTGCGCGACGGTGCATGGTTGGCAAAACAGTCAATACGTGTTTAACCTGGCACCTGCGCAATGTGCCTGGCGGCGCGACCATCTGTGTGCACCTACTTGGTAGGTGTGCACATGCGCAGAAGTTCACATGCGTGTGCAGTGCTGGCAGACCGCTGCGGTGCCACGCTGGCAGACCGCCTTGTTGTAGCGTTGGCAAGCCGCTCCTCTGCTGCACTAGCAGAGTTCGTCCTACAGAGGGCTTGCTAGATGTTGCAATGCCATTCAAGCTATATCGACTTGCATGCCTCATTGTAATCTAATGTTCTTCTCAATTTCCTTAGTGAAACACTACTTCTCTGTGAACACAGCGAGTAGTGAGAACAATAGTGCAATGCTACGATCACTCGCACAACCTCGTGCTCTCCTCCGTAGTCTACTCCCGTTGTATAGTGACTCTCCGCAACTCGGGCGGTACGGGCAGCTCGGGAAGTACGGGCAGCACGGGCAATACGGGTAGCTCGTGTAGTATGTGTAGCTCGGGTATGCGGCGCTGATAAGGCAGCAGCGCGCTGCTGCTTCTGTGCGTGAATGAGGCCGTGGGGCGTGCTGGGCGACGGAGCAGCAGGGCGCGCGGGGCGGCGGGGCAGCGGGCCGTAGTAGGCGATGGGGCAACGAGGTGCACAGGGGCATCAAGGCGCGCTGGGCGACGGGGTAGGAAAGCGTGCTAGGCGACGAGGCATCTGGGCAAGCTAAGCGGCGTGGCAGTAGGGCGCACTAGGCAACTGTGAGAGACTAGTAAGAGCTGGCTAGGAGCAGGGCTAGGCTAGGAACATAGTTATGAGTGACTTGGAAACCTAAGAGCAAGCAGAAGTGAGACCTAACCTAGATCGATACCATGTTAAGGGAGACATAGGACTAGGGAGCTGGGTATAGTGAACACAAGAACAAATGTTTTAGGTATATGATACATTTTTGCAATTGTGTTGTACGGTATGCTGCCTTTGATACAGCTTCCCTTTGGACGGTTCTTCCCTTGAGTAATTTCTGGTTGCCTCTCGAAGATTCACCGCAACAAACCATTCCACTACAACTGGTCCTGTGCTTACAATTTCCTTCTTGATTGGTTGGACACAACTCAACTCAGATGAAACATGTGTTTACCCTCAATATACATACTATTTGAAAAGCATAGTACAACACACGATCAGCACTCTAACAAAACTGGGAAGCAGAATTACACTACCACATAGCCTAATTCGCCTAGGAATGCATTATGGTACCGGCATCGCGGCCATGTGCGCACCAAGGGTGTCATTCCACCACGCTTGTGCCACTCTTCCCAGAAGTCTTGAAGGTCCCCTTCCAAAGAAGCTTGTCCTGACCCTTTGTTAGCTCTAGCGTCACAGCCCTTACGAGGTGCTCTTCCCGCGAAAGAAAGCCTTGATTCGGTCCTTGGCACTCCTCTCCCCAGATATTCTCCGCTCTCCAGATGGCTTCCCTGCTTCTGCATATTGACTCCCCCCCGAATGTCGCCTCTCATCGCTCTCATTTGACGACCTTATTATAGGTGATGATGCCTTGCTGCTGCTACTGCTGCCGCTGCCCTTTATCCCTTCCTGTCTCTCCACTCCCTTCCCTGTTCCTCCCTCCTGCCTCCCTCTCTCTCCTGGTTCGCATTTCTTGCTGGTCTGTGTTTGATGTGATTGCTTGTGCCCTTGCATCGGCACTCCACTCTGCCCCTTCCCAAGCATGTGGCTCCCAACAACAGCACCCTGGGTAAGGTGCCTTTGCAGCCCCCTATGCTGTCCCTCCACCTCCCTCACTCCGGACTCTGACACCTGGCGATTATCACCCATACCTGCCACATCAGTAACTTCTGACAAGCCAGCTGGCACAGAGCAACTGGCCCGCACCATGGGGCTGGTGAGGGTGGGATCAGCCAAAAGGAACTCAAGAACAGCGCAGGAATACTCATCTGGCATTTCGTCCACCACATCCCGACCCGCCGGTTCCAGCTCTACATACTCCCCATTCTTGCACAGCAGGGCGGCCTTTCTTGTTGCCTTCTGCATGAGCTCCCTCTCCCCTGCCATGCAGAGAACCGGCAGGTCAATCCGCTTAAGCAGGTCCGCGTGGTCTGTCACTGCCATGGCTCGAGATAGCCAGGGGCGCCGCTCATACGTCTGCAGCATATCAATCACCGTGCGCACCTTCAGCTGCCACGGCACATCCACACCCGTATCCACTCTCTGTTCCGGGAACCGTGTGGTTATGAATGCGCCGATGGCAGCAGAGAGGTCAGCTTGGTAATCAGCATCGGGGCTTTCCTCCCTGAGCACGTCCCCGCGCTCCATGAAGCCAAGCATGGGTATGCCCCAGAGGGCAATGCGGCGCACGATGTGTGGCAGCTCCGCTGCTATGTGCAGCGCCACTGTTGCCCCCACCTGATGCCCCACCTGACAGAGAGCGGAGGGAAAATATGGGTGAAGTGGGTTGGTAAGGGAGGATTGAGGACCAGGGGCGATGTATGGCAGGGAGATGAGGGAAACGAGAATATGGAGCGGATAGGAAGGGAGATGGTAAGTGGGCGAGTCATTGAATCAGAAGACAATTGAGGGGAAGGGACAAGGGAAGTGAGAGTTTGAGAGCAGGGCAGCGAGAGAGGAAGAGGGAGAAGAGAGGACAATCAGAATAAGGGGGATCAAGGAAGTAGGAAAGAAGGAATGAATCGGGAGAAAAAGCAGAAGGGGGGGGAAGGGGGAGGGTGGGCGGGGGGGGGATGAGGGGGAGGGGGGGGGGGTTTAGGAGTGGAAGAGAGATTGGAGAGGTCCATGCACGGAACGAGGCTCATGTATCAGGGTAAAGGCGTTAAGGTCTGAGAGTTTATGTGCATACATGTAGTCATGTGGACGTGGCAGAGATGAAGTGGGGGGGATGGAGAGGAGGAAGGAGAGTGGAGGGAGGAAGAAGAGGAAGGAGAGTTGAAACCTTTTGCGCACGCATCCATATCCAGAATGCAATCCAAGCATCATTCAACTGCTGCCCGTTTTCTCCCAGTATCACTTGCGTCATCTCCCTTTCTCCCTCACTCCTGCCTTCTTATTCACATTCACCACCTTATTTTATCCCTTTCTTGCTTAGGTGCATCCTTCCTCCCTCTTTACCTCGCACACTCTTTCCCTGTCCGTTCGTCCCCTCATTCCCTCTTTGCCTCTCCCCCGACAAACTTCGATGATATTTCTCTCTTACTATCATCTCTAAGATCCACGCTTACCTCCATTATGCCCACTGGCCTCTTGCTCCAACTCTTTTTCACTTCTTCCTCCTGCAGGCCCTCTCTGGCTTCCTCATGCCTTCCGCCCTTTAGTGTAGGGATGAGAAATAAGCGAACCCGAACAGGTTCATCTCGAACATGCACGAACATGGTTGAAACCCGAACCAAACATATGCGGTTCAGGTCGAACCTTTTTTGGCTTACAAGGTGTGCGATGTTCGAGTGTGAAAGCCGAAGATCTTAGTGTTCAGGGCACATGTTCACCACGAACATGTTCAGGTTAGGTCGGTTATGGACTCAGGTAGGGCACAGTAGGCTGGATTCCACAAATCGTAATGAATGGCGCTCCTAAATAAACTCCCACTGACTGTGGGTTCCATAAAAGATCGTGACGTCGACAAAACTTATTCAAAGTTGAGCATTAGATATCCGGCTCGGCTAAACCTGACCGAACATTTAGGCCGAATCGAACGAGGGGGTTTGAAATCTTGCTCATGCAGCGTCCATCTGCATGCTTTCATTCAGCTGTTTCTCCATGCTGTTTGTCTAGATCGGCAATCACAGGATGCATGTATGGCGTAGAAGTGCATCATAACGTGCACCCAATGACCAATCCAATCATCCATCGACCAGGTCACACACACACTCACAATATCAAATGGCGGCACGAAATGCAACCCGTGCGCAGCTTGGAGCACGAGGTTCGCCACGTCTACCATGGTGAGCTCGCCGTCCGGGAGCTGAGTGGCTTGCGTGGAATCAGCGTATCCTGACGTGGCGCGGCACGACTCCCCGCTGTTGGGCAGATCCAGAGCGATGGCATGGAGGCCAGCAGCAGCAAATCTCTTGAGTGCAGCGCTGAACATGGCAGAGGACTGGCCAGCCGAGTGAAGCAGCAGGATGGACGGCGTTCCTTGACCGCATCTGCTTTCCAGGCACAAGCAACGGTTGAAAATGTACGGAAGCGAGAATTTGGAATCTGGTTGTAGGACCTACACTGTAGTACTGTCACTGTGAAACTGAAAAACCTGCACGTGAGGGGGGGAGAGGGAGAGGGAGAGGGAGAGAGAGAGAGAGAGAGAGAGAGAGAGAGAGAGAGGGGGGGGGGAGGGAGAGGGAGGGAGGGAGAGAGAGGGAGAGAGAGAGAGAGAGAGAGAGAGAGAGAGAGGGGGGGGAGGGGGGAGGGGGAGGGTTGCATGAGAGACTCGGATCTTCAAAATTACCCATCTGTCGTCATAACTTCCCATAGAAGCTGAAGACGGTCTTCAACAAAGGCAAAATTTGTAGGTACGAGAATGAGACATAAAAATCGCTGATCAATATAAAAGGTAGCCTTACCTTTGGTAGTGGATTTGCCCAGCCTCCGTGTCTACATATCCCTTCTTCTCAACACCCAGAGTAGTAGCCATAGCTGTCAATGCACAATTTTCTCTTCAAGTTGAAGATCTAAGGTTGTGTCTCCCAAGGTTGCCTTTGACGAGCCTAAAAGCACAATATAATATTTCTGCCTTACGTGCAACCGTTTCTTACATAATTCATGCTTCACTTGCCAGACTGGAGCACAAAAGCATAGGACATCAGAGGTGGCTGTTCAAGGGACTGTAACAGAGGAGTGTTGTGAGATTCTGTGCGGTATAGAAAGCTGCACCTGCTGGATCTCGCTCAGTTTGGTGGGGTGCACCACCAAACTGCCAGCACAGACTGCTTCCCTTAGGCAATGTAGTGAACGAACAACACCCTGGCCCAGCGGAAAGGGGAAAGCGGGACTCGTGGCGGAGGCTGGACCGCTGTTTTGTGATTGATCCCTAAGCTCATTATGACGAGCGTTTGTAAAAAGGTGTGTAATGATTTCGACCAACCTTCACAGATACCCGTTACAATATGGTGCACAGCGACGGTCCGATCTCTATGAAAGTGAGGGCCCATACTGGCAAAATCGACAAATGCACCGTCATTCATGAACACGAGAATTCCTGCCACATTGTCGTATCTGCAAGCCAGGTGAGCCGTTCATTCGCCTTTTCAAGAGCGGCAGCCCCGAATGAAGGAAAATGTGTGATTCTCCAACCCCAAGTTGGGGAAATGAGGGGTCCAAGCTTTTCCCACCTCAACTGATCGGGACTCTGCTCAAGAGAAGCAAAAACGTCGTCCCACATTCCCCAGCTACCCGGAGGGTTGATAAACATCCCAAAAAAAAACTGAATGTAGAGTTCCCACGCAGATATCCATCCCGAATTCAACACCCTGAAGTCGTAAAACCACACACGCGACACCAGGAATGAGACTGATGGATTAAGGGAGTTCGGGTTTTAGGAAACGATAGCTATGGAACGAAATGGTCAGGGTGGCGACATATTCTAGTGTGTGGAACAATCTAGACGACCTGACAAGTTCGAAATCATTTCCTTGGTGTAGTTCAATATCATTAGCTATGATCGGAATGGTACGGTGGTAACCAGGTAATAAGTGCAACTGATGAAGCTTTATTATAGACAACGGAGGTGCCCCGTTTATCTTGGCAGTGATATCTATACCAAGATATGTTCAAGCCTAGAGTATAGCAGCTAAGACTACAGATGCCTTTCTCATTCCCGTGTGTTTAAAGCATCGATAAAACTTAGAGCATAGCATTCATCATTTCATGAAAGAGTACTGGTTTTGCGATCTAAATATCGATTTTGTTTTCTAGAGCGATCTAAATGTCGAAGATTTTTGTGTGAATGTGAATACATTATATAATGCGTGACATTTTCAGACAGGGTAAATAGCTGAGATGACAGTCTAGGTTAATCTTCGTGGGAGAAGTAGGCGGGAGCACGGCTGGTTTTCATCTTCTAGATCTGGGAAAACGAAACTGTTACTGTTCACTTGAAAGTTGATGGGTTCATCATTACAAACTTCAGCGTATCGATTAGGCCTCACAACTCCACCAGAACCTGGGAGAGTTGAGGGACAGACACTTTTCTTATCAGGAAGTTCCCTACCTGAAGTTGCCGTGTGTACAACGTCTTCCGTCGCGTCGCAGTATTTCCGGATGTTAGAATAAGTATCTCATTTTGTTCCGAGAGGAGTGTGTTCTTGCTACTTGATATTGCCAGCAAACACGTATTAGCGCAACTGAGACTGGAAATTCGAAATCAAGTGTTTAGCAAATTACATGATTTTCGTCTGAAGTGTTGCGCGAGTTTCCCTACATTTTGCCGGACAGTATCCCGTTTTCCATGCTTGTGTACAGTATGCAGTGGCAGCTTGGTTCTCAGGTGTAATCACCAACAGAAACACAGTTGCGCGATATAGTATTAGTCTATTCGGGTTGTTCTCTGTATACAGTCACCAAACACAACTACAGCACTTGAATGAAATCTATATAACTTGTAGTGGACCTGTATGAATTTCGGGACGGATCAACCCTAAATATAACAGGAAGCCGCCCACTATTTTGGAAAAATATAATGCACCCCACCTGACCAAAAATAAAACCCAATCGGAAAGGGACGCGACTCGGGAGGCATCAACCCAAAAAAACAATGCCCTTTCCCGTGTTTAGGGTTGATCTTTCCCGAAAATGCGTCCACGTTCCCTAGAGAGTTTATTTTTTTTTGTCGGCTCTGTCGTAATTTTTCGTACTTTAATCTAACATATCCAGTTCGGGAGTGTAAACTGGATGGTTCTGTTTTTGTCACTTCCTAAAGAGTTTGGCCAGCGTGAATTGTGATTAAAAGGCGACGACCAATCAACGTTGAGGAAGTCCAGGTTGATTACACCCAGGCCCTCAGATTGGTTTGAGGGTATGCTGATGGATCAGCGTGCCCCGGCCAACGAGATGTCCAAATCAGCGTTCACGGTTTTTTTTATACTGATTTTGCCAGTGTAAAAATCATAAGTAAACTGAACCAACAGTGTAATAACAAAAAACTATAGCTGAAACCCCAGTACAAGGTGTGTGGTGTTGTTGCTGTGATAGGTTCCAGCGAGGCTAAACACTTCGGCGCGCACCTGATATCTGTGCGTGCATGCGAAAAAATGCCAAGTGTGTGGGTGGGGTCTCAGGAATCACGGGAAGGTACAGATTGTACACGCGTACCCTATCCCCCCCCCCCACACGCGGTCAACTCCGTTTCAGTGTGACTCACGTCACTATACTGATTCGTCAGTGTTACTTGTAAAGAAACACGCAAAATGGTCAGTGTGACAAGGTAGGATATACTGAAATTTCAGTGCAAAATTGAAGCATATGCTGAATTTTCAGGGAAAACGAAAATCACAGCTACAAAATCAGCGTAATCAGCGTGTTTTACGCTGATATCTGAGGGCCTGATTACACCTGAGAACCTGCTCGGGAATAAGTTGAGTATGTATGAAGTTGGCCGGAACTGAAACGCACAAGTACACCTATTCTCTCGCTAGCGTGGCTTCGTGTGAAAATACAGGACGGTCTGGAAACCTTGCCTCTCACCCTTGTTAAGTCGTTGGTAAATACAGATCATTTTGTTGGAGACTATATATAGTTCATTTTGTTAGAAACTAACCGCCCAAGAGTGCCCTAGCCCACGTTCGTCTCATTGAGAGAATGAGAAAGAATTGCCTTATCGAATAGGATTATGAGTGAAGGACATGAGCGAAGTGTTAAATAAGGAAGCAAGAATGGTAAAGGTAACGAGCTATCAAACGGGTGCCCTACAAGCGAGAATTGTCGACGTATAGGACCCAAGTCGTCGGTAAACAGGGGATCATGTGATTTTGTCAGAAACTATATTTCTATATATGACTGCATATTAGACTACCTAGTGTACTATCACATTAAACTTCTATTGTTGGTTGTATATGTCAAATGTTGATGTTTGTGATAGGCTGTAGTGAGCTGCTCACAACTCAGTTAGGGTTTGCTATCTGTATCACCCACATTCCTAATCTCATCATTCAATTGCATTCCTACTTTGAGATGGTATCACGCGTAGGTTAGTTCCTCGTTACTTCCTAGGCCGCGCCCTCTCTAAAGCACCTCAGCGCCTTAGCCTCCGCGCCCTCCACGCCCCTAGCCCACGCCGTCGCGGACTTCCGTGCCTAGCGCCCTCCGCGCCCCTAACCTGCGCCCCTAGCCCGTCGCCCAGGCCCACGCCCTAGCCCGTCGCCCCAGCCCGCGCCCTAGCCCGTCGCCCACGCCCGCGCCCTAGCCCATCGCCCTAGCCCGCGCCCTAGCCCGTCGCCCAGGCCCGCGTCCTAGGCCGTCGCCCCAGCCCGCGCCCTAGCCCGTCGCCCAGGCCCACGTCCTAGCCCGTCGCCCCAGCCCGCGCCCTAGCCCGTCACCCTAGCCCGTCGCCCAGGCCGCGCCCTAGCTCGTGCATCCGCACCTCCGCCTCGTGCCTCCGCGCCTTCGCGCATCGCGCCTCCGCCTCCGCGCCTCTGCGTCACTGTGCCCACCCATGGTGCACGCCCGCGCACCAGCCTGCGCCTAGCCCGAGCCCCACCTAACCCGTGCCTGGCCTGCCCTTCGCCAGCGCCTAGCCGCGCACGAGCCCGCGCTTAGCCCACGCACCAGCCTGCGCCCCAGGCAGCGCCTAGCCCGCCCTCTGCTCACGCCCTTTCCTCCGTTAGCACTAGCCCCCGCCCTGCGCCGCCCGGCCCGAACTCTCACCAGGCCCGTGGTCATTTTAGAGTTAACCCCTCCACCGCCCTGTTCAACGGGCCCGAACCGTCCCGAACTGTAACTGACCTTCTGCTCAGCGGCTGGCAGCCACTCCTCTCCCTGATGACCCTATGTAGACTAGTCTCTAGCCTAGATCCTAGCCTCCACTTTCCCGCCTCGCTTAGTCAGCTCAGTCCTCCGCAAGTTCTCCCTTAGTCTCCACTGACGCTCCTAGGACTC